CACATGCGGCATGCATGAATAACCCATGAATGGAGATAGAGGATTAAGTAAACTTTTCAATCCAATAGAGAAACTCCGAGTTAAATTTCAACTTCATTCCAAAAGAAACGTGTCAATTCGTAATGATCAAAAAATCATTAAATGTAATTATCAAAATTTTCATGCTGCGGGACAATGGAATTCCTCTGGAGATCAAAGCTGTGATTCATTAGATTGAAATTCCGAGAGTCCTTGATGATGATTGGTCCCCCTAAATGCTAACGTCACAAACACACGACTCAATGTTATGTGGTATGCCCGGAGATTTCTCGGGGGTATTCACCCCCAGAAGACGATTCAAATTGCATGGAATGAATGAGACGTTCGGAATTTCCTCGATGAAATTGAATGACTTGAGTGAGTGACAACACACGAGATGATTAATTTATTTATAAACAATTTAATCAAAAAACTAGAAATTAGGGAATGAAATGAAATTATTTCGGCAGTCAAATCATGAAAATCGTTTGATGATAAAAATCCTTTGGGTTGATAAGAATTTTTTATTGAGTGACGATCGCTCAAAGTCCATTTATTTATAACAAAATCATTACGGAAATCGCTGAAAGCATCGGTTGAGGACCCCATGGGGTGATAAAATCTTCGGCGTACTGATAACTCGAAGTGATTTTATTTGTGATAAATCATGTTGAATATATAGGAGATAAGGATTGCTTGAAATGCTTGTTATCAAGTGGGCCGAAGGTTGGAGGCTCGTCTGATCCGTTGGATTCAACCATATTACGCAGTACAAGTGCAAGTACTCGAGTACGCGGGCGCAATCAGGGGAAGGGGAGTACGTAGGTGGGGAAAAAAAAGTGGGGGAAACCGGCGGGACACGTCAACTCGTACTTGAGAAAAGCATTCAGTATCCGCGACACAACATTCCCCTGCCATACGTACACCAATAGCCATCGGCAAATAATCGATTATTGATATCAATAGTTAAATAATCGAATCGAAAGTGATAGTTCTGTTGTCCTCGGGTTTGTCGAGTTGTCGGATAATTTCATTAATTTTGGAAAATTGCGGAAAATCGACGACACTATCACGTGGCGCTTCAAACACATGTACTGAGAGGTACCCCAGGTACTTTAAATATTTCAATAATGTATTATCATTATTACTCAATGCCTCGTACCATCCACTCGGAAATATTGAAATATTCTGTTTTGATTTTTCATTTCTGTCGTTTTCGTTTGACATTTTTTCTGCAAATCCTTGGTTCATCGAATTTTCATGGTTTTCATTGATTATTTGATCGTAGGGTGAAAT